CTTCAGCAAAGCGTCAGGCAAAGAGGAGACTTTGCAGGAAGAAACTACTAAGAACTCTCTCAATAGGTTACGTAAGTATCCTGTTATGTTAAGTCGTACTCATTTCACACTAACTGCAAAGATGATCTAATTATGCTTTAATCCTACTTAAAATTATATCTTGTATCAATAACAGATTCATGGCAAAGCATATTGACGTTGCTTTTGACAATGAAGAGGAGATCAATGTTCTGTTCTTCCATTGAGCAGCAACTCACATTTTTGGAGAAATTCTGCTAAATTTCTCAAGCGACTTCTTGATGCTACACAAGCAGACCAAGAGCAATTATTGTAAAGAATCATGATTGAGATCAACAGGCCTTAACAGATAATTGAAAAATGTGGAAGACATGATGAGGCTATAGACCCAGTGCTGCTTAACTCAATATCAAACAGAAAATTGCAAAATGAAATTAGGAAGAAGCGCAGGGAGCTCAAGAGAACAGAAGTCCAAAACAAGCAGTGCATACTAAGAAGAGGCCCACCAGTCAAGAACATGTACATAAGATTGTTGTAAGACGATGTAAAGCATCTTGACCGATTGACGGCAATAGAAGAGGAGCAGTTACTTCTTCCAGGGGGAGGGGCGGCCGGCGTGCGGGTATATAGTAAGGTTGACCAGACTGTAGATACTAAGGTTGATGATAGTGTAAATAAGGAAGAGGAGCATATGCCAACATATTGTAGATATGAGAGGACGAGCATAGGAACAATATTGTAGATATGGAAGAGGAGCAATATGCTAAGATATAGGAAAAGAGGAGCATATGGAGAAGTATTGTGATATCATGAAAGAGGGAGCGTTATGCGTAGATAAGGAAAGTATATGGTAGACAAGGAAGAGGTAGCATAACTATGCGAAAATCGAAAATTTTATTGTAGATAGACAAAGGTTTTGATGAGGTACTGTTGATGGTGTAGATAAGGGGAGATATTGTAGATAAAGGCAAGGAGACTGAGATAAGTTGGAAGCACAGGGAGGAAGAGGATCTTGTGAATGATTTGAACATATGTGGACAAACTCTGTAGACCGTTCCATACACGTAGCAACATGTGAAGAGCAGAAGCCGGCCAGCCAAAGGCACAAAAGGGTAACCAAGAGCATCTAAATTCAAGGAGGACACCATATACTGACATGGCAAAAGAAAGAAACAGGCAAAAATTAGTATAGATCATACTTGGAAAGTCGCTGAACCAAAAGGCTAAAACTAGCTCCTGAAAAAGTTACTGCATTTTTTATCCCCGGTATCTCAATCCCCCACTTTTGATGCGTGAGTTTTCCAGAGCCAATGACAGATTGAAGGGACAACCCTCCTTATTCGGGAGAAGCTGAATATGAGTTCCAGACCCTACCATTGTTTAACTTACGCCATAATAGATAGCCACCAGGGGTTTTGTACATAATTTAAAGATACCATTCCCGTAGGCCCCAGAAAGAGCTCCCGACCCCCAAAGCTGTAAATTTGCATAGCCTAACCCAATTTTGCTTCTCCCCAGGAAGATTCACAAGTAAGTTTCCCCAGTTTGACTATTTTATTATGGTAACTCTCCTCCACATATTCTAGGTTGCTAATCATGTTTAGTATTTCCTAATTTGGCCTTATACCAGCGAGAATATAAATGTTAATAGTAACGAACCATACCCAACTAATTTCCAAGCTGGAAAGAAAGGTTGTTGGTGACATTTCCGTGCCCCTTCCGGGGTTCGGCCGAGCCTCAAGTGGCTGCGCCTGCCACCCACCGACCTTGCGCAACCGAAGAAGAAGGTGGGCTTCGGTGGCCGACGCCACCAAGGGTGGCAGGCCCGAAAGCCACCTGTCTTGGTGGCCTCGCCGCCATGAGGCCGCAGCCACCTTGAGGTGAGCGGCCCCACCTTGCTGCTGGCCCACACGTGCACACGCGGCACGCCGGCCCTCACAGCTAACGAGAGCCCTATAATACGGCAGGGGCTTCTTCATTTCAAAAGGCTTTGCGAAATTTTGGAGAGAGGCGAAGCCTTGCCCTGGCGATTGGAGACATCGGAACTTAAAAAAAAGATTGAAGCTTTGCGCGACTTCGCGCGACTCACTCGCTTCAGATCTGGTGCACGCCTCGGCGATCATCAACGTCAACATAAGGAGCGTGTTGCGAGAAAAAGCGCCATCACGACTCTCAGATCTACGCAGGCCATACTCCGGATGCTAAGCTTGGTTTCTTAGATCCCGCAGACTTGGATGATTGATTCCTTTGTGAAACAATCCTCCCCGGCTATTATTTTCCTTGGCTGAAATAATAAGTTACATATACCCTCCGCTTTTCGAAAATACTGACGATAGAATTTACCTAATGGAGGCGTTGGTATCTAATGACTTCTCAATATTAACATGTTTGCCATAATAACCAGGTCTCACCAGAGCTGGAAAAGACAAAGACCTAAACTTTGCAAAACCCCCAGATCTAGCCAAGGCGCAGGCAACCACAAGAACCCACAAGCGTTTAACCGTGGAGAATATGAGTTGGGTATCCGGGTGGCTCCTCTTTTGTAAGGAACCTGTATCTTACTCAGCGACCGCCCCAAAACAGGAGCTCGCCGATTTCGTTCGACATAAAGAAAGAAAAGCTTAGCGACTAATCTTTGTTTTATTTCTTATTTGATTTTCGCTTGCCTAACCGGATCTTATAAAAAGACTCGGCATCTTTTTTTGTAAACTCAAAAAGTTGCTAACTCAAGATGGACAATGCGAATTCAATAACAAAGCAACAGCCCCAACGAATCTTTCCACGCGAACAACTCTGCGCGACCACCAGTGAGCGAGCCCACGATCTCGCCTGCCGAGATCGCGAGCGTCGCCCAGCCCGCTGGATTCAGCATCCAGCTCGTGGAGGAGTCGCATACGAGTTCGATACAGACAACGTTCGACGCGAATACCTTTACATCCTCGTCCTTTTAGATTCAACCTTGCCCCCCGAAAGTCCAAGAAGTCCAACTTCTCTTCCAACAGAAAGGCTGCGTTTCGCGCTACGCAAGAAGCTTGAAGCCTAACCAACGGACGACCTTCATCTCGATTGCCGCCAAAGTCTGCGTACATTCCACGCTTCGAGTTTAGTTTGGTGTGCAAAATTCCCATCCTGCTTAAATCCTTGGTGTAATCCAATGACCCAACCGTTTATACCCATGCCGATACCCTAGATTCAGATATCTCTTTTAGCCAATCCAAAATTGGTTCCAACCAATAATACTCTCTCAAAAGTCATACATAAAGAGGTGCCGATAGCTTTTAGTCCCGCAAAGTACAGGGGGGCTAGTCACACGAAGTTCCCACTTTTGGGGCCTGGACACATTTTTCCCTAATAGTAAAATAATTTTAATAGTATTTTTGAATTAATAAATTACATTGTAATTTAATAATTATAAAAATTAGTAAATTATTTACTTATAGTGTAATAAACTAATTATTAAATTAAAATGTAGTTACTAATAGTATTATAATTATGGCAAGTATAATATTATTTATTTAAAAGATAAAAATTATTTAATATATATAATTATTTTAATAAATTATGAATAAAATATAAAAAATATTCAAATTATAATTGATCATATAGTTATTTATATACAATTTTATCATACAATTTATTCATTTAAATAAAACTATAATTATTCAGAATTTATATTGCTATATAAGTTATTTCATTTTTTATAGTCAACAAAAAATCAGAAAAATATATAAAACAATGATACTGTCATGTGAAGCACGTGCACTGTATTAGTTGGTCTAAATGACTAAGGGTCTGTTTGGTTCGCACAAAATAGGCCTGAAAGTGAAAGAAAAGTTTTTTTTTCTTCTGACACAGGGAAAAAAAATGTGAGACTCTTCATTTTCGGATGTTTGGTTCGAAAAAAGAAAAGGGAAAGGTTGAAGAAAATGTGTGCCACATCACCCAAAGTGGAAACCACGTTTCCTCTCCAAAACCTCCGATTTTGGCAGAAAATTTATCGACTCGAAATAAAAAATCCCCCGCTGCGTCTTGGAGTACATCACCCTCCTCCCCCTCTTCCCAATGGACGCTGCTTCTTTTGGTACTTAGCTCTCCTCCTCCCCCTCCTCCCACAACCTCTCTTTCTATGCCAATATTGTCAACTCTTTGTCAAGAACCACCAACAATAGAGATGTCAAATGATGAGATTAGGAAGATCTTGACTGGGGTTTTGGGCGAGTTGAGGAGGGAGAGAGGGATGAGGAAGCTTGTGAGGTTGGTGAATGTGATGGTGTAGATGGTGGGGGTAGGAAGATTTGTTTGGGGTTTTGAGTAGGGGGTTGAGGAGGTTAGGGGATCAAGAGGGGCCGAAGATGGTGAAGAGGAATTTTTGAGGAGTGGAATGTCAATGGGAAGTGGTGTGGGTTGGATGACGTGCAGATAGATGAGTATGGTAGGTGTTTGATGAAACAACGACGTTACTTTTTTTTTGCTTAACTTTAGTTTGATTATTTAGGGGTCCTAATTATCAATAGATTGATTTAGGATATGCTAAGTTTATCACTGCAAGTAATTTTGGTTCTTTAGATTTTTTTCCTCATGTTAATGTAGGATTAGAGTTTAGTATGATAGGGAAGACTTGATATTGGAAATAAATTTATCCTATACGGGTGGTAAGCATACCATGGTGATCATAGTTATGTTTTTTTCATTTTTTTCGTTTGAACCAAACACTAGAAAGTGAGTGAATCTATTCACACATCAATTGTTTTGTTCTTTTTTTAAGTTGAACTAACCTAAGAAAAGTAGTGGAAAGTATTTTTAACCTATATTTTTTGACGAAACAAACACAAGAAATACTTTTCATGAAAGTCAAGGAATGAAGAAAAATCTTTTTGGAAAAATGAAGAAAACTAACCAAACAGCCCCAATCTCTCATCAGCCACAAAATCCAAAACCACTAGCTTGGACTTCGCTTTCTACCTCTCCTTTTCTCACCTCCCCTCTCCTTCTTTACTCCCCTCACTACGACACTTGAAAATTATCGAAGCTTCATCTCGGCCTCTCCTCAACGATAAGCGATATCTCGATTCCCCACCACAATCTCTCCCTTTTTAAAAAGCCCCCGTTCTTTCTCTCTCTCCCTCGCTAAACTCAAACCCTTATCGAACTCCGCCATGGCCTCCGCCGCGGGCTCCGCCGCTGACCCCCGCCTCTCCCTCCACGTCGCCTCCAAGATCCACGCTGTGTCTGCTAAGTTTGGCAAAGGGCCGAGGGGAGTTGCGTCGATGGCGAAGAAGAGTGTCGGGGATCTCACTGCCGCTGATCTTAAGGGGAAGAAGGTTTTCGTTAGGGCTGATCTTAATGTGCCTCTTGATGATAACCAGAACATCACTGATGATACTAGGATTCGAGCAGCGGTGCCGACGATTAAGCATTTGATGAGCAATGGGGCTAAAGTCATCCTTTCTAGTCACTTGGTAATGTCCTCTATCCAGTCAACTTGAATTGAGCATTCTGTTCTACTGATTGGTTAGTGTCACTTGATCAATGATTGACTCATAAAAGGGGTATTTGGATGATTCTAACATGACTTTTTATATGCATTTGTTTTGTAGATCAAATGGTTGTGAGTAGGACTGCAAACGAATCCAATCGAATTCTAAGCTATTTGTTCTTTTATTATTTGTTTAAAATTTTCAAATTCAATTACGAATGTCCTCTGAATTTATCCAAATTTGAATTCTACACAAATACTTTTTGAATACTCACAAATATTTATTGAATATTAAAGTATATTTCTTTGATTAATAATTTATATCTTGTGAATATTAAACTATTTAATTAAGAAGATAATTTTATCTGGTTAACGAACTACTCTCTTTTTTTCTAAAGAATTTAATTTTCAAATAGCTTTAAATTCATAATTGAAAACCATTTCTTTGTAATTATGATTTATAAATCTATAATTTGAATATTTGGTTAAAAGAAACGATTCGGGACACTTTAAGCCTTTCAAACTTAGTATTAATGTAAAAAGTGTAAGTGGGTCAAAAACATAACATTTTGTGTGTAATAGTACAATTTGTGGAAGGCCAAATTTTAAGCGAATATTTGATAAGCAAAGGAATCGAATGTACATTTGGTTAATTTATATTCATTTATGAAGCAATGCTAATATTTATTTGTTTATTGATAAATGAAATATCACCGAATATAATTGAATAGTTAGACGAATAATTAACAAGCTATCCCTTAATTATTTGATTCATTTCCACCTCCAGTTTTAAGCAAAAGAGCTAATTTAGTGCTTTGACGTGCGCTTAGTGCTATGACGATCTATTTCTCATTTTATTGCTTTAGCTTGTTGTGGTCTTTTTTTTTTTGGTTTTTGCGTTATTTTATCTTTCGTGTTATTGTCATGAGGTCGGACTTATTCATTTATAAGCTGCCAAAAATAAGGATAGTGTAATATGCTGCTACTTATCACTAAGGTACACTTTTCATGAAATTACTTGCATGAAGATGAGATGCTATAAATGTTCCTTCCTCTTAATGTTGTTCATATGATACATTTTTTTTCAATGTAAACACAAGTGTAGCCATAATATTCATGTTTTCTATCTGTTTCTTTTCCCTCTTAAATTCTATTGTTTGATTTGTCATTGATTCCAATAGGTAATTCTCTGGGATGTAACCGTTATGTGGTTTTATGTTATTGTTCACTTGTGCATTTCCATTTCCTTAGTATAAGGTTGGTCCTTCCATCTTGTCCTGAACGCCATATAGAATCATAGCAAAGATTCATAATATAGTTTGCATGAAGGAGAAAAAACCATCACTGAAATTGAATATGGTTAAACCTTAGGATAGGTTATGAGGAGGAACGATATTCAGTGCAGGGGAAGAGAAGCATAAGCAACAATAGCGTTTGTAACAGGTCACCATAGCTTAAAATTTGCTGTTCTAAAGGTTAAACAATAGTCAATCAACCCAGACTAATGATTTTAGAAGCATACCTGTCACTGTAGTTGAACTTGTTCAACTGTTTTTCCTTTTCTTGTTACATCAATCTGAAATGGGTGTAATTCTTCATCGAACATAAAATTATGAAAATTGTATCTCATTCCATGTTCCTGAATTTTCAGGGACGCCCAAAGGGTGTTACCCCAAAGTTCAGCTTGGCTCCTCTGGTTCCTAGATTATCTGAACTCCTCGGCATCACGGTAGGCTTTTTTCATTCTTTATATGACATCGGACATTCTGATATTACAACTGACATGTATATACCATCATCCTTCATACCATTTAGGTTGAAAAAGCAGATGACTGTATTGGTCCAGAGGTTGAGCAGAAAGTTGCTGCACTTCCAGAAGGTGGTGTACTTCTTCTAGAAAATGTAAGGTTCTACAAGGAGGAAGAGAAGAATGATCCAGAATTTGCGAAGAAACTTGCATCACTTGCTGATCTTTATGTTAATGATGCATTTGGAACTGCTCACAGAGCACATGCATCTACTGAGGGAGTAACAAAGTTCTTGAAGCCATCAGTTGCTGGTTTTCTTCTTCAGAAGGTAGCATTTAACTTCTAGCTTTACTGTTTCATAACCAGAATCTGAAAAAATTAGGAGCCTAAATTGAGAATGCTCATATAGAAAACTTTATCCTGTGCGGATTAAAGAATTTCTATGGCCAACATCTCTAGCTTTAGTGTAACCATATAAATTGTTACTCTGACAGGATATATCTTAATCTTTTTGTATATTCCAATATTATTTGCAACCATGTATTGTGTTTAATAAGTTTGGACTTGATTGATACTTATATGGTGACTAATTTCAGGAGCTTGATTACCTTGTTGGAGCTGTCTCAAGCCCCAAGAGGCCATTTGCTGCAATTGTGGGAGGTTCTAAGGTGTCCTCCAAGATAGGAGTGATCGAGTCACTATTGGAGAAGTGTGACATCCTTCTTCTCGGTGGTGGAATGATATTCACCTTTTACAAGGCACAAGGCCTCTCTGTTGGTTCTTCACTAGTGGAGGAGGACAAACTCGAGCTTGCAACTTCACTTCTTTCTAAGGCCAAGGCCAAGGGGGTTTCTCTCTTGCTGCCAACTGATGTAATTATTGCTGATAAGTTTGCACCTGATGCAAACAGCAAGGTTTGCTTTCTCAGCTCTTTCTTCATTATAGTTTAACATGTATATTTACAGTTCACTTGTAAGTGGTCATTATATAATAGTGCGATTATCTATTTTATGTGTAAATTTTCTTTTCTAACAAAACTTATAAGGTTAAGGGTCTCACACGCTGGACAGATAAATTCATATGAGCTCTATTATTATAGTGCCAGAGATACAACTATCGAAGATAATTGAATTAAGTGCAGGTCGTGCCAGCATCTGCAATACCCGATGGTTGGATGGGACTGGATATTGGACCAGATTCAGTTAAAACATTCAATGAGGCATTGGAAACAACCAAGACAGTTATTTGGAATGGCCCTATGGGAGTGTTCGAATTTGACAAGTTTGCAGTTGGAACTGAGGTAAGCACGTTCCTATTTGTTGCTTGCTGGTGACCGTTAATGCATACTGATGTTGATATCCTTGGTATTTATATAGAACTAACTTTAAAGCATGCCACAGGATATAGAACTAACTTTAAAACATGCCACCCGAGGAAGTCATGAAAGACGTTCTTGAACCTTGGGAACTTGGATGTTACAGACTGTTTGATTTATGATACAGTAAAGCTAATGCAAATTTATAAAATGTTAATTTGTTTTGTTAGAAGGAAAACCAGGAAAAAGATAACAGCAAAAATAGTATTTTATAGATATTTTCTTATCATCTTTCACATCTCCAACCTAGTGAAAATGGAGAAAACTAAGCGGAGAAGAGAGGGTTGTCAGATCTTGCATGGAACCTGCAGGTTCATGAGCAGAACCATGTTGACGCTTACAGTTCTCATCTTTCTCTTACCTTTCCCCATTGCAAACACAACAAATTTTTTTCTTCTTCTCTTTTCCGTACCTTGCTCTTTCTCTTTCATTTTACTTTCTGTCCCATCTCTTTTTAGGCATTCTCCAGGATTACTTTAATTCTTCTCCATTATATCTCCAATTGACGAGTAATTTGCTTCTTACAGTGGTGTTGGAAGTGAGTGCAGAAACTCTCAAAACTACTGTCAATTTACCATCCAAAACCATAAAATCAAACGTTCTTCTAACTATTTGCTGTCAGCCTTGTGATTTTTTCATCGCCTAATATTGAGATTAACCAATACACTAGCTGCAGTAACTTTCATTTTTTAAAGAAATGAATTAATGTTGTACGCTAGAACAAATAAAATCAAATAGTCAATATTATTGAAGTTAACATTTCTCCATATTGCAGTCCATAGCAAAGAAATTGGCAGAGCTCAGTGGAAAAGGCGTGACAACAATCATCGGAGGGGGAGACTCAGTTGCTGCAGTGGAGAAGGTTGGAGTAGCTGATGTGATGAGCCACATATCCACCGGAGGTGGTGCCAGCTTGGAACTTTTGGAAGGAAAAGAGCTCCCAGGAGTTCTTGCCCTAGATGAAGCTGTGGCTGTACCTGCATGAGGATAAAAATTTTACACCCGAACTTTCTATCTCTTGCCATTCTTGTGTTTGTTGTACTTCTAGTGAAAACTAGGAACCATTGTAAGAATTCTTGTTTAGAAACCTCGTTTGGTCAATTTGAGAGAATTGTTTCTTTCGATAGATCACATTTCTTGTATTTTGGTGTTAATCCATATCGACAAGTTGTCGTTTGCATCATGCAAATAAGAGCAAGTGCATGTTTCAGGGTATATGCTATTGTATTATATCTAGACATTGGGTTGTTCTTGGCATCATGCAAATAAGAATAAGTGCACGTTTCAGGGCTTATGTTATTGTAATATGTCTAGACATGAACCCTAGTGGATGCTATTGAGTTATATATCAAACTGAAATCATGTAATATCAACTTTTTCTCCAGCAATTGCTTGTTATTTTTGAAGAAGAGACTCACACCTTGTAGTATCATGATTGGTATTGCGTACAAATGCACGCTTGCCTCATGATTTTGTCAGCGTATACTTTCCGCTTAAATATTTGTACCAATATTCATTATGTCATGGTTTTCTCGTTCTTAATTTTTGGTGACCAAATTTTCTTTTTTCTTTTGAAAAAGATGCTTCAAATTCTATGTAGATATTGAAAATTTTAGTTTCTAAATGAATAAAATAAAGAATAAAAATGCTCCTAGAAATAAAATAGCCTATTTTTTTCTTCAAAAACTATGGCTTTATGAATATGTTTATTTCTAATTTGATTCTCTTGTTTTGATGGTCAAAAGATTTTTCTGACAGTTGACTTAGATGTTGCCCTTTTTGGCAAGGACTTAAGAGAAGGGCTAAGAGGGTTTAACCACTCCTTAATCATCCAAGTGGGTTAATTTGGTGAAAGGGTTAACAAACCCTTTAGGTCTCTCTCAAAATAAGAAATGTAACTTTTAAAAAAGAATATATTTCAGGATATTTATGACAACTAACCTCCTTAGCTCTTCTTTATTTGCCAAACACAAAAAATATAACCCTTCATTTTGAGTATCAAATCCAAATGGAATTAAATTTATTTTTAATTTCTTGTGAAGGGTTAACTAAGTTAGTCATTCCCCTTAACCATTTTCTCTTGACCCTTGAAGGGCTAGGATTTGGTTATGCATTTCAGTTTCTGTTTTAAAGTTTGAAATTATAAAAAAAATAGCATAGAAGATTAGTGATACAACAATATCTAAATAAAGTTTAATACAAAAAGAATTTATATGATCATAGAAGAAAATGATCTATGTAGTCGAACTGATGAACTGATAAATATTGGAGTAAAAATTTATTGTTATTATTTCTAAGAAGGGGATTTAATCTAATAAATAAAATACAAATATAAGTTTAAATTTATATTCTCTGATGTATTTTAGGTGCTGTTTGGCAACGGGTTAAGTGAGGGTTAATGAGACTCAACTCATTCTCAACCCACAAAAGAAATAAATAAATAAAAATCTATATAAGGATTAAAGTGAGTTAACTCTCCCCTCTACAATTTACCAAATACAAAAAATGAAGAAGAGTTAAGTTAATCCTTTAGAGGGGCTAAAATGAGTTAACCCGAGGGGTTAATTAATACTCATATTTAGAAGGACTAAAAGTTAATCCCTCTATTTATAAATACAATAGTAAAAAATTTTATTATTCCTAAACACTAAAAATAATCACAGAAACTAAAATAAAGCTTATTTAACAAGTTAATAATTTAGTTTTTCAAGTTATCAAATAGACTAAGGGTCCGTTTGGTTCATGGGAAGGGTATCGGGTTTTGGGCAGAAAGCCTGCCAAAGTGCCAGTTTTGACAAGCTTTCTGTCCAAAACGCCTCTAAAAGAGGTGTTTTGGGCAGAAAGCCTGTCAAAACTGGCACTTTGACAGGCTTTCTGCCCAAAGCCCAATACCCATCCCATGAACCAAACGGTCCCTAAGTGGGCCCCATGCTTGAGAGCATTCTGGCAGCTTTCCACCCCCTCCCCGAGGCAAAATACTCAAAACAAACAGCCCCTTAATCCTTCTCTTTTAACTCATCATTCTTTAACTATTTGCCAAACTAACACACACCGAGATCATGTGGCATGGGAGTCCTCAACATTTTTTATCACTTTAAGTATTTCCTCTTCCGAAGCAGGACCCAACGCCAAGAATATTCGAGCGGCATAACGCAAACAAAATCAAAATAACAAATGAAAAAAAATCGAGCCGTCCAATTGTCCAAAACATACCGTGTTTCTCTTCTGGAAGCTCCTACGAAGAAAATCAAGACCCAAACTCCTTTTCGACCGTCCGATGAGCACATCATAAATGACCGATGCGCCCACAGAAAAAAAAACCCTTTTCTATCCCGCGCACGTTAGCACCCTCGGCTTGCCTTACATATACTCCCCCATTTCTTCTTCTCCAAGCTCAGCATACTTTATTAGATTCAGATCAGATCGTAGATCAGTTAAATTCCAGTATCAATGGCGACGAAGAAGAGCGTTGGATCTCTGAAGGCGGCCGATCTCAAGGGGAAGAGGGTCTTCGTTCGCGTGGATCTGAATGTCCCACTCGATGACAACCTCAACATCACCGATGATACCAGGGTTAGGGCTGCAGTTCCCACGATCAAGTACCTCATGGGTCATGGCGCCAAGATCATTCTCTCTAGCCATCTCGTAATCAATCTCTCTTTTTTCTTATTTTTCGATTTGATCCGTTTTCTTTAGGTTGTTATGGATAGATCTTAGCGGTCTACGTTCTCGTTTCGTGATTTTATTATTATTTGGGGAAAGGAAATTAGAATTTTTTACGTCTGACTGGAAATTTCGAAGTCCGGTGATTTTTATTGGTTTTCTTCAAAAAAAAATTACGTCTGATTGCGGGAACTTAACTGTCTGATTTTTGACTTATTGGAATTTTATGATTTGTGAATTGAAAATATACAGGTGGAGCCTGAGTCTTTGATCGTTGAGTTAAAAATAGAAATAAGAAAAAGTTTTTAAGTAGTTTGTTATTAAAGAACTAGGAATTTCGTGTGCTGGAATTAGGAACAAGTTTTTTTTAAAGATCTTCTCAAGAGATGGAAAAGAAACAATAAAGGTTGCATGCGAAATATCTGTTGCTATTAAGAAATTTTGTTTTTAGTTTGGGATTGTACTGAAGGATAATAAATAAATAAATATTAATACATAAGATATTAAAGCCATAACTCGTAGAGGAAGTTGTTAGGATATCGAATAATCACTTAGGTGGTGCTTTAGAAATCTGGAGACTTAAGAGTCATAGACCAAGTCAGATGCACGCTTCATGATAGGTTAATAGGACAAGAATGTAAGAATAGTAATTTAGCACTTCCAGACATTATTGGCTTCCATAATATAAATTGTTAAGAGGACGTGATGCAAAGTAGATTTCTCTGGTTTATCGCCATGTTAATAAGGTGTTGAAAGCGAAGAATATGTTGAATGCATAGAGGTTAGGTTGTGTGTTTTCCAGTTTATGATTCTGGAGGATGTGAAATTTGTACAGTCGTGAAGTTGAATTTATGACTTCTGCTATGAGCTATTAGAAAATGTGGAGTTTATGTGTACTAGATTTCAATTACCAAAATTACAAAGGAGACTATGCTATTGTCTTCTGTGGTAATTGTTGGAGATTGACGGGTCATGGAGTGATGGAAAAAACTTGATATGATATTTAATTATTAAGCGAAGTGTACTTAATAGTACAAGAAAGTCTT